CATTGGATATATAAATGTCCGACCCTCCTGGACATAGTGTGGATATCCAATGGATATCCAGTGAATATAGTATTGTATGCAATAAGGTTGTAATCTGTATTCAATATGGAGATTGTATGGATATCCAATGGATAGGGTATTTAATGCAATATGGTTGTCATCTGTATTGGATATGGTGAATCAATGGATATTTACTTTTCAATAAATAACATTGGGTTTTAAAATAAAAGTCTTATTCTTTAATTTAAATATTTATTTTTATAAAAACATAAAAAAGAACAGAAAACTACATACAACGTATAACTAAAGAAGTGAAGTCTCTGGCTTGCCATCACTCCTCCAGCTGTCATTTGCCTTTTTATCAGCCTAATCATTTAGGGCCTATTTCACCTGTCTCCTTATGATTCCCAAAATTTGGCCAATCCACCCACACAGAACACGCTATCCAATGGATATCCAATGGCTATCCCAATGTCCATATAACATCCATGCCTTTTACGATATCCATTGGATATCCAATGGATATCCATACTAGATGTTCAAAAAAAAAACAAAAACATTAAAAATATTTTTTTCTTTTTTAAAATAGCCCCTTATAGGATAAATTTATGTAATGATTAATAAATATGATTTAAATCGTTATTAACCCAATTTCAACAAAGTATCTCTAATATATATCCAATGGATAACTAATGTATGTCCAAAGTATATCCACTGTACATCTAATGTATATCCACTGGATATCCACTGGATATCCAATGGATATCCATACTGGATGTTAAAAAAAAAACAAAAACATTAAAAATATTTTTTTCTTTTTTAAAATAGCCCCTTATAGGATAAATTTATGTAATGATTAATAAATATGATTTAAATCGTTATTAACCCAACTTCAACAAAGTATCTCTAATATATATCCAATGGATAACTAATGTATGTCCAAAGTATATCCACTGTACATCTAATGTATATCCACTGGATATCCAATGGATATCCAATGGATATCCATACTGGATGTTCAAAAAAAAACAAAAACATTAAAAATATTTTTTTCTTTTTTAAAATAGCCCCTTATAGGATAAATTTATGTAATGATTAATAAATATGATTTAAATCGTTATTAACCCAATTTCAACAAAATATCTCTAATATATATCCAATGGATAACTAATGTATGTCCAAAGTATATCCACTGTACATCTAATGTATATCCACTGGATATCCGGTGGATATCCAGTGGATATCCAATGGATATCCATACTGGATGTTAAAAAAAAAAACAAAAACATTAAAAATATTTTTTTCTTTGTTAAAATAGCCCCTTATAGGATAAATTTATGTAATGATTAATAAATATGATTTAAATCGTTATTAACCCAATTTCAACAAAGTATCTCTAATATATATCCAATGGATAACTAATGTATGTCCAAAGTATATCCACTGTACATCTAATGTATATCCACTGGATATCCGGTGGATATCCAGTGGATATCCAGTGGATATACATTAGATGTACAGTGGATATACTTTGGACATACATTAGTTATCCATTGGATATATATTAGAGATATTTTGTTGAAATTGGGTTAATAACGATTTAAATCATATTTATTAATCATTACATAAATTTATCCTATAAGGGGCTATTTTAAAAAAGAAAAAAATATTTTTAATGTTTTTGTTTTTTTTTGAACATCCAGTATGGATATCCATTGGATATCCATTGGATATCCAGTGGATATACATTAGATGTACAGTGGATATACTTTGGACATACATTAGTTATCCATTGGATATATATTAGAGATACTTTGTTGAAGTTGGGTTAATAACGATTTAAATCATATTTATTAATCATTACATAAATTTATCCTATAAGGGGCTATTTTAAAAAAGAAAAAAATATTTTTAATGTTTTTGTTTTTTTTTTAACATCCAGTATGGATATCCATTGGATATCCAGTGGATATCCAGTGGATATACATTAGATGTACAGTGGATATACTTTGGACATACATTAGTTATCCATTGGATATATATTAGAGATACTTTGTTGAAATTGGGTTAATAACGATTTAAATCATATTTATTAATCATTACATAAATTTATCCTATAAGGGGCTATTTTAAAAAAGAAAAAAATATTTTTAATGTTTTTGTTTTTTTTTGAACATCTAGTATGGATATCCATTGGATATCCAATGGATATCGTAAAAGGCATGGATGTTATATGGACATTGGGATAGCCATTGGATATCCATTGGATAGCGTGTTCTGTGTGGGTGGATTGGCCAAATTTTGGGAATCATAAGGAGACAGGTGAAATAGGCCCTAAATGATTAGGCTGATAAAAAGGCAAATGACAGCTGGAGGAGTGATGGCAAGCCAGAGACTTCACTTCTTTAGTTATACGTTGTATGTAGTTTTCTGTTCTTTTTTATGTTTTTATAAAAATAAATATTTAAATTAAAGAATAAGACTTTTATTTTAAAACCCAATGTTATTTATTGAAAAGTAAATATCCATTGATTCACCATATCCAATACAGATGACAACCATATTGCATTAAATACCCTATCCATTGGATATCCATACAATCTCCATATTGAATACAGATTACAACCTTATTGCATACAATACTATATTCACTGGATATCCATTGGATATCCACACTATGTCCAGGAGGGTCGGACATTTATATATCCAATGGTTATCCATTGGATATCCCGGATATCCTATGTATATCCTGAATATCCATAAAAGACATCCATTGGATATCCGTTGGATGTAATTCTTCCGTGTGGGGTGCGCCCTTACTTTGGATCACCCTGTATAGTATTGTATGCATAATTTGATTAATATTTCTCCCGTTATTATAATAATAACAATAATTATTATTATTTATAATATACAAGGTGTCCCTAAACTTAGTGGCATAAATTTAGGAGCAGATTAAGCAAGTCAAAATAAGACGAAAATCTAAATAAATATTTTTCCTAATTAGGTATGTTTAAAAGATACAGGGTGATAAAGTGTTACTTATCATATCAGTTTTTTTAATATAACTTCCACTATGGTAGACTTGGAAAGGTGATATTTTGCGAACAGTCACTTACTACCAAATCACATATTCATACATAATTACAATTGTTCGAGTGAGCACAGTGTCGTAGAAACAGGGGTTGCTTAAGCTTATTGTCCCATACAAACTTTGAGGTTAGGTTTTTATACCATTTGATGCAATTTTTCGATTACTCAGTTCGGCTACTATTAAAAAGGTGTACCTCTCAAACTTCGATAAAATAAACCGTTTCCGAGATATCCGAGATTACAATAATTGTTGGGATTAATTAAAGGAATAAAAGGTATATGATAACAAATTTTTTAATTGAAAAAACTACAATTTTTTTTAATGTGACGGCCAGGGCAAAAAGTCTCGAGGCTCATGGAATGCCGATTTTAGTTTTTTCAATGAAAAAATAAAATTTGTTATCATATACCTTTTAATCCTTTTAAATAATGCGATATAACAATTATTGTAATCTTGTATATCTCGGAAACAGTTTATTTTATCGAAGTTTGAGAGGTACACCTTTTTAATGGTAGACGAACTGTGTTATCGAAAAATTGTATCAAATGTTTTAAAAACCTAACCTCAAAGATTGTATGGGACAATAAGCTTAAAGCAACCCCCGTTTTTACGACACTGTGTTCACTCAAACAATTATAATTATGTGTGAATATGTGTTTTGGTAGTAATTGACTGTTCGCAAAATATCACGTTTCCAAGACTACCTTAGTAGAAGTTATATTAAAAAAACTGATATGATAGGTAACACTTTTTCACCCTGTATCTTGGAAACATAAGTAATTAGGAAAAATATTTATTTAGGTTTTCGTGTTATTTTGACTTGCTCAATCTTTTCCTAAATTTATGCCAATAAGTTTAGGGACACCTTGTATATAAAATTAAAAAATACTTTATCATATTTAATTAAATAAAATTAAGTTTTTAGTAAAAAAGTGGTTCACATGAGTAATCTAGGATAGACCTATAGGGCCGAAATTTGGCACACATTTTTTTTTTCATTTTTTTGAGACAATTTCAGGGGAGCCAGGGTTAACTTTTTTTTTACCCGACATATATATATATATATATATATATATATATATATATATATATATATATATATATATATATATATATATATATATATATATATATATATATATATATATATATATATATATATATATATATATATATATAATCTGCACAAGCTGAGATCCGTTCATGATATTTTTCGTTCAAGATGAGATCCGTTTGGAAAGTCGGGATCCGAATTCGGATCTCATCTTGCATCGTGTGTATATTTTTGTCAGAGTGATCAGTGGTGTTAAATATGATTGTTTAGCAATTTTTGTCTGGATCTCATTTTTCACATTTTTTTCCTTTCTTATATAAATTTACTTTAAGCGTTTCATGCAAGGTGGCGCTCCAAAACATTTTGCAGCAATGATAAATAAAGCATAAGCTGAGATCCTATCAAAGTGGCAACGTTGTGCCGCAGATGCTATAAAATGGGCGAGTAAAGACTCGTTTCTTTTTTTTTCTGTTAAACATCTCTAACTCTGTGCTTCGTTGTAAAAGGTAGGTGTTTAATTTAATATTGGATTAGCATAACTTCTAAATTGTAAATATTTTTTATTTTTGAAAGTGAATTTAATTTAATAATAAATAATAATACATATGCTTAAATAAAATAAGTTTACAAGTTTATTAGTTTATTTGTATTTAGTAATATTTTTAAACCACAGTCCTTTTTTTAATCTTTAAAAATAACCTAATTGTAATTTAAAAATCTATTAATTATTAGGAAAAAGTTGTGTCAAAATAAGTAACAATAAGTAACATTTTATTTTAGATGTCGACTGTGACGAGTTTTTACGTGTTTTTTTATTTGTTTCTTCCTGCATTGGCCATTAATTATTTGCAGTGTACCGAGAATGTGGATCAACGACATATGGACCAAGCAAGGGAAATTATTCAAGATGCAACACCGGCAGGGTACACCTTGGGTGAGGTTGAAGCAATGACAACGACGGGAAGAAACCCCCATCGGTGGATTGCCACATTTACCCGAGATAACAACGATTATAATTATGAAACTGGTTGTCAGTATATTTCTGCTGTCCCCAAGGAGCTGAAATAAGATGTGTGCAAGTAAAAAGTAATCCAAATGAGCGAGGTATTAAAGTGGAATTTTTAGTAAATTGTTTCTGTACAAACATTCCAAGAAGACGAAGGCGATCCTTGTGGGCCCAATGTCATGCCAGAGGGTATACACGGGAACCTGCATTGTGTAATTTTTAAATTCAATTTTATATTTTTAACCAATTTTTAATGTACCCATTTTAATGTTTTTAAATTTGTTGTAATAATTGAATCGGTGAGAAAAAGAACAGTACATGTCCAAAAATATTATTTTGACAACTCATTTTCTAAAATCAATTTAAAAGTTTAAAATGCATTTTTGTGATAAGATATCAATCATTTTACAAAATATGATTATTATATTTTATAAAATAATTGAAATATTCACACAAAAATATATTTTGAACTATAAAACGTATTTTATGAAATAATTTGTCAAAATTTTAGCTTTTGGACTTCTTCCGTTTTATAGTTCAACATATATTTTTGTGGGAATATTTCAATTATTTTATAAAATATAATAATCATATTTTGTAAAATGATTTATATTTTCTCACAAAAATGCATTTTAAACTTTTAAATTGATTTTAGAAAATGAGTTGTTAAAATAAAATTTTTCGACTTGTACTGTTCAAATATTATAATAATTTGTAATAATTATTATCAACACTTCCATGTTTTGTAATATTTTTTACAACGAAGTTAATAAACATGTTTAACAGAAATTTTTGTTTTTTTTTATCGTAAATTAAACAAATTACAGTTACAATTTGTAGCAGTAAAATAAATAAATAAAAATATATTTTATTGTTTATTAAAAAATAATATTATTAAAAAACATTTTTATAAGATTCATACTTCCACATCGTCATGATACATGCAATAATATTAAAACCATTCCCCACCTCAAAATAATATTCTCTTATCTAATTCAATTATAAGACTAATTTTTGTGTTATACTAACAAAGGCTGTTTGTAATTGTCTTAGAATAAATTCATCAATCAAGTTTTTCTGACACCCCTGCATTATACTTACCAAACAAAACAATTTTTTTGTATAAATTTTAGGTTAAAAAAAATTCAAGAACAAATAGGTTTAAGCATATTTTATTAAAAAGAAATATTTATATAAAATAATATATTTATATAAAAAAATAATAACATATAGGTATTTATATGGTGTCCATATTTAAGTATTACAAAATAAAAACTTAATTTAAATATTATTACATAAAAATATAAAATTGACAATATTAAAAAATAAATATGCAAAATTTAGGCGCGAAAGAAAAGGTTTATCGGACCGATAGTTACAGAGAAGTCTGGCCGATATCTTGTTTAACATAACGTGCTTAAATTAACAAACAAAAAATGCAAAACACATTTTATTTTTTAATAAGTTTAATATTGAAGTATTTTAAATTAAAAAAGGCAAAACTTTATAAAACACAACTAGGATACCAAAACTCAAAACCCCCAAAGGATTTTAAAAAGTTTGCTCGACTTTAAAAGCTATGGCCGTTTAAAGTTTGTCTCGTTGGCGTACCTAATCTGTATTACTTTTCCATTAATATTTATTTAAATGTTTTTTTAAGGAAAATTATAATTGATGATCAAATGCTAAATTTTTATAACCAATAAAACATCCAGAAAAGTCGCATTTATTAATATTTTAGATAAAAATTTTACGTTTTATCGTATTTTTATATGGTTATATGAAAAATATGACTTATTTTGTAAAAATAATCATTTAATTAACAGCAAATAATTCCTTTTAAAAATAATTTAAAAATATTTTCAAAATAATAACAATCAATTTAAATATTAAATTTTATTTTAAATAAAAAGTTTTGAATTCAATAAGGTAAACAAATTCACACGAACTATTGCAACTAAAACGGTAAATCAAGTATTTAAGCATAATAGTAGAGTGTTAATATAAATAATATTTTTAAATATATAAGAATATTTTTATAAATGATTTTTTTGGGTAGTTTTCTAGTAGAATTGTAATATTATATTATAAATATCTATTTTCCATTTAAAATATATGTATTTTTTTTATTTTAGTTTATATTTCTAACAAAGGTTAATATTATATGATATTAAATCACATTTAGTAAAAAATTAAATCTAAATCAGTTTTGACTTAATTACTTCATTTTTTTGACAGGGTCAGGGCTTAAAATATCACTTATGCTTTCTCCAGGAATATTGCTTGGGTCATTATGTAGAACAACAACATTTTCCATGTAAACATCAAGGATACCCAGTGTATTTAACATCTTTAAACCTAGTAGAGTAACCACTTCTCTGGCAGATTTTGGATTTATTCCCTCCCCAAAACAAAGAACTGTTGGATTGATCGACATAGATAACAAAGTATAGGATTTTTCGTTTTTTTCATTTTTCGATGTCAAATCCAAATAATTTACTTCAAATTGTTTGGAATTTGCGAATTCCAATAAAGTTGTTTGCCGTTTGACGTTCTTGTATTTTTGAATAAAAATAAAACAAAAATTATATTACTTATTGGTGAAAGGCGAAGTAAGTTAATACAGATTACGCGAACGAGTCATTCAAATGGTCATAACTTTTTGGTCTACAAAGATACCATCAACCCATCCAGACCGCATCCAGGTAATTTTTAATGTACATGAAATTGTGTAATTAAGCAGTACAAAAAGATACTTTTTTTATTTTTGAAACTTTATATTTTTTGTTTTACACTCTGATCCTCCAGTTTTACTGTAGCGATTATTTGCAAAATCTTCAGATGTATACATCCAACCCAATTATGGTTGGTATGGCGTCGACTTTTGCTAACGGTTTCACGAATAGGGTTTTTAAATCAATTTAATTTCTACACAGGGACTTTATTGTTAAGAGATCAGTTTATAAAGACAAAATAAGTTTGTTGTGCAATTGTACTTGGGGATTTTATTATCTTTATAGTATAGAAAGCCCTTGTTATTAACTCAAATGGGTCACTGGAATTGGTATGAAAAACCATAAAAATTTATAAAAGACAAAAAATAATCTACAATAAGTGATTACCTACCTGAAAAAAATACCGTTTGGAAGTCACTGGCGCACGTACTAAAAAGAGTGGGGGTCAGTGAGTACTGTACCACCCTATTTTGATTTTTTGACAATTGTTTTTTGTTTTGTTGTCCTCAACTTTTTATGTTGAAGTAGTGTACCGAATTTGAACTTAATATTTTATCAATTACTCGAATTATTAAAATAAATCAATTTTAAATTTCAAACTTTATCGCCCTGTATATCGAACATGAAGCTCTAAATTGAAAAATGGTATTATAAAAGTGTAATTGTTTTAACTCAAGGAATATATGGTTAAAGGATTGACCTCTTTTTTCCAGACACCCTGTATAACAATATCAAGTGTAAAAAATGTGAAAAAATATATTTTTTTGACGATCGCGAAATTATTTAAACATATAACGAAGAAAATTATTTGCTTGAAATAACAAACGGAAAACGCAAGCCACTTTTTATTTGTTTGTGGTTTTATTTGAAATGTAAAAGTACATTTGAAAATCCAATTTGTAACTTTAAAATTGTAGTACCTATTTAGAATTAAAAAAGACAAATACTTTATTAATCGAACAGTTTGGAAATCAGAAGTCATATCGTCCCCTTAGTTCAACAACTAGATAACTTGAAATTTATAGTTTTGAGAAAATCCACTTTAAAGATTTAAAACGAAACAAATTACAGCTGTTAAGTAATCAAAAATATTTAACATCTATGATATTATCTGATTACTTAACAGCTGTAATTTTTTTGCGTTTTAAATCTTTAAAGTGGATTTTCTCAAAACTCGAGTTTCAAGTTATCTAGTTGTTGGGGCGATATCATATCATTGTTGACTCATGGTTAGGCGGCAACGCCATAAAAATATCCTCCAGTGACAGAATAAACACTGGCAACACTGTTGGACCTCAGCTTAATGTTATAATATCAACTTATACAAGGGCGGATCTCGTCTATCACTAACTTTTTAAAGGATCTCGTGTTGTGTTATATACTTGGTGTATTATTTAATTGCAAAAAATGTTTCCCCTCTGTTGGTGTACTTGCTAACAATATTGTTTTAGTTAATTTTGTAATATTGGTTTTTTCTAATATGCTATATTTTAAGTGGATCTCAGGTTGCCTAGGGTTTATCAGGATCTCACCTTTATATGAATACGTGTATATATATATATATATCCTCTGCACTCAAACTTTCTCGATCAACTAGCCACCTGGTGCCCACTGCGCATGGTTACAGCCACCTGGTACCTTCTGCGCATGGACCCAACCATCTGCTCAGCTGACAGTATGACGTTCTTTTAACGTATTTATTTCGTCACCCATTACGTCGTTTTGACCTGTTGGATGACGTCGAATCGATCAAAATATTACGTGAAAATGTCACAGCCCAAAGACGTCACCAAAGTGACGTAAAATGACGTCGTCTTATGACGTAGAATATATGTTTTATCGACGTAATTGTAACGTATAATTACGTTAATACGACATTTTATCAACCTATTTATGACGTATGTATCGATTTTGGGACAGCACAAAAACCAAAAATATTGATAAAATTTTATTTGAAAAAAAAAATAAACAAAATAATGCACTTTCTGTGGTGCAAAAGTTACCTTAAATTTAAAACACTGATAATACTACTTTCTCGATTTTCTCGGCGTCAACCATTTGCAATGAACAAGTGCTAAACCACCTTCATCGTCATCAGTTTTGCAGAATTCCACTCCTACGAAAGCCATATCTATGTAGACAAAAATTACAACTTCAGTAGGTATAGTTTTAATAACATTATATATTATATAGGTAACTATTTAATAAATTTAATTTATAACTTTAACAAATATAATTAACCAATATACATATAAGTACTTGTTAAACTTATTATTTCATTACTTTTTCTTAATGCCCAATGGCGACCATGACGCCGGCATGAAACC